GCCCCAACTTTGTCTCTAACTTCCCCGTTTCTTTTCCCTTTCCGTGGGAATCGCGATTATAAAAATTTCTTTATAACCGACAACGTCTTGTCTCTTATCTCTTTTACGTGTACCTATTATTTACGCGCGGAGGAAACGGATATGGATTCGCTTACCGAGCCGAATTTCGGTAACGTAATAACGTATTATTACGTGTAATGATATAACCGGTGGTAGTTTCGTTTCTGCCAAAATTTTCATTCGTAATTCGTAACGCGAGCCAGTTCGAGTTTCAAAGTATTTCTTTACCGCGTTCAAATTTATCGAAACATTTAATAATACGCACGTAAAAATTACGCGAATGTGATGAATATTACATTTATATTTATAACAATTTATCGAAAGAGAAAGTTGTTCCTTTATTCTTTACCCGTGGAAATATTTGAATCAAGATTTCTCAAAGGAGTTGATACGTTTCTTCTCTACGCGAAAGTATGCGGATAAACCAGGAGAACTTTTAAATAAGTCAGCAGTGTGACGCATTAGCGACTTGCACCACTCACGAGTTTTTGATAAAGAAAAGAAAAAAAAAGAGCGCGATTATTTTTCCTTCTTTTTTTCTAAAAATCTCTCTAACGTAAAAATAATTTTTCTTTCCTTTCTTCGAAAACTTCGTTTTCGCGCGAAAACGCGAAATTCTTCGCCGTTGAAGAAAAGCAGTGTTGTTCGTAATTTCGTATTGTTCGATGGACCAGTTGTTTCAGTTGGAACAACACTCATCTCATTGAACCGCGCTATTTATAACCTACGCATTATATCGGGACTATTTACCTCTCTCTCTTCCTCTCTCTCTCTCTTTCTCTCTCTCTCTCTCGAGCGTTCTTATTGTTATGGAGTAACGAGGTTTAAACCGCGGCCCAGTCCCTCGAATAAGCTTGGAACGAATAATAAATCGCGCGGTATATAAACCATGGATCCGCCATTAAAGGTTGAATGGCAGGATGGTGGTTGACAATCGTCGTAACGAAACGCGGCTTGCCGTTTGTTTATTAGGCAAACCGTAATTAATACGATTAATAATCGCGGAACGTTGAAACGTCAACGGTATTAATCGTATTAATTTATGGTTTATCCAATTTAATTAAACTCGCTTAACGGCGATCGAATTAACGCATCGAATAAACGGAACGATAATTTGCACGATCCCAACTTTTTATCCGCTATATATCTTTATCAGCACTTGAAATCAGTTCTTATAAAATTTCCATTGATCGATTTGAACGAACAAAGAAACCGTTCGTCGGTTGTTTATCGTCGTCCATTTGCAATAATTGCATTTTATCCCCTGTTCCATCCAATTATCGCGATCAACTTTTTTTTTTTATGAAATCTTTTAAAACCTCTCCCCACTCGTCAACTCGTTTTTAACGAAAAGGTTTTTAGCGAAAAGAATCGATTTCGATAAAAATTATTATATTAAAGTACACTTTGGAATAATCTATGTACATAACATTCGGATTATGCGTAATTTAATGACATTTGTACGCCGGTCTCGTACCTGGCTCGAATTTTTCACATTTACGGGGAAAGATAAGGCTTGATAAATGAATAAATGAGCCTCGTGATAAGAGACATTAGGAAAAGTGAAAAATTAAGTTCCAAGAAGAAAAGCGACAGGTAGATAGGTAGGTAGGTAGGTAGGTAGGAATATTATTAAGAGGAAAATGTCTTGAAAGATGTCCTGAATACTAATATTTCGAAAATTCCCTTTATTTTTATCTTACTTTCTACCGTCATGCATACGCTACGTTCAAACGTGATTTAATATAATAAGGAATCTTAATCATAAGATATATATATATATATATGCATATATAAGGGGACGGAAAAATTAATCTGTCGGAGACAAAGAAAATTCTTCGACGCAATTCTTCGGATCGTGGCGAATCGAGGAAAGAGAATTTTTCGTTGGAAAGATCGCGCCACCGAGGTTCTCGAATATTTTAGGTTAAGCGATACGCTTCGAGCTACGGTTCACCTTGACCGACATCCCCGAACTTGAATTTTTACCGAAAATTTTTCCGGCTACAAAAGCCAGAGGTAAAACAGCGACACGCCGATTCGAGACCCGCTGCGAATTATTCCCCCCCTCGAAACTCTTGAACCCTTTTATACGCGTACATCTTCTATACGCGCATCAATCAAATGGAACGAGTTACGATCGATCAATAAAGTAGCTATCCTATCTCTCCTTCTCTCCTATATTTTTATCCTTCGATTTAATCCCAAATATGCGCAAATAAAATTCACACGACCACGATGATGGCGATGGTGCGCTACGTGTTCGACACGCGGAGGGGAGAAAGAGGAGGGGCAGAAAATTTCATTAACGAACAATCATTTTTCCCAACGCGAGATTTAGAAGATATATATATACATATATAATATACATGGAAAGGAGAGGCGTGAAGAAAGCGTTCCTGAAGTGAATATGGCGTATGCAAATAGGGGGTGAGCCGGTCCCGTAGGTAGGACGGGAGACGGGCCGTGGCGAGGCCTCGTCTAGTGAAAAAGTTTGGACGCTTGGCGACGAATACTAATTAAAGACTTGCGGAATGAAATTAGTTGGCGGAGGGGTCGGAGGCGAGTGGACGACGGGGAGGCTCGCCTCACCCGGGAGGGTCGACGACGAGGAGCCGCTTATNTAATAATACTTAGTTGGGTCCCGGCCTCGCTACCTCCGAGCTCATTATGCGTTTAGTTCGTAACTTCAATTGGATTCTTACTATCCCCCCCTCCCTCCCTCCCTCACTTTATACTTTCATCATCGCGGCTCTACTTTAACACCCGCTAATTACGGAGAGAGAGAGAGTAATAGACGATTACGCCGAATTTCCTTGCTCTGTACGTAACATCTCTGGATTAAGTCGAGTCTCTCTTTCGATCGAATTCGAAACCAATTTTTTTTTTCTCGTAAAAATTAATCTTCCAGAGAGAGAGAAAATTCGTTCCACGAATTACGACGGTAGAGTAATGGATTCGAACGACTCGAAGCTTATTAAAGTGAAGCTTCGAGCAAGAATCTGTGCGCGCTCAAATCGGATATATGAAAGGTAAATGACGATATATACTCGATCCATTCGAGTGGACGAAAGCGAGAAGGGAGGGAGGGGATGAATGAGCGGAGTCGCATCGATCGCGGATGGTTCTCTATTGTAATCCGACCCCTTCTCTCTCCTCTTATTATTATTATTGTTATTAATTTTTTTTTAAATATTTTTACCGCTTCGGGCCGCTGTTCATCATTCGGGAAACCTTATTTATCGAGACCACTTTCGTCACCGATGCACGTAACGCGCGTTCGGTTTTTATCCGTTTTGCGTTATCCGATTATGCGAAACGATGAAACGAAGACGATTCGAAGTTCGATATTTATCGTATCCGACAAATAATAGGGGATAACGATAATCGGACGTGTAAAAAAAAAAAAAAACGAACGAACGTGAAACGAAAGTGAATTCATTTTGATGTGGACGCGATCGAACATCTCGACGTTGGATAAAGATATCATTCGATAAATATCGTGATATATCGATCAACGAAGCGTTGGTGGCGAGACTGTTTTAACCTCTCCACCTCGACGACGCGAAATGGATGAAAGCTTTCTCCTCGGCCGACTGGACCTAATCGAATTCCAGCTGCGTCGGCGAAAATTCCGTGGGGGGCCACCGCGATATTTAATTTTCCTTTGCCGCTTTCATATGCGCGTCAGACGTGGTCTTAAGGGCACGCTAAGAGTGACGCTTCCTCATCGTCTCACAAACGAAAAACGGGAGAAATTCGTTTCTTTTTTCTTTTACATTCTTCTGTTATTGCTTCCTTACGAAAACACGATGGATTAGATCGTCCACGAGAGATTATCAATTAAACGAGTAAACGATTTTTTACGCATTTTTATTTATAATTATTGTGTATATATATATATATTTCTAGATTAGGATTATTTGGATCGAAGTTTGGAAGAAGAAAAAAAAAAAAAAAAAATAAATAAATAGAGAAAGTTTCGTCAGTCGTTTCTCTTGGATTCTTCGATTGTGTGATTCGACGTGTTCGTTGTATTAAACGACAATCATGCACCACTCTCAGTGTACAGCAAAGATTCGAGAAAGACACGTATGTACGTGTTTATATGTATATGTATATGTATATATATATATACTCACCCTCGGATTTTGGCGCAGGGGGTTTGCGAGTCGCCCAATTCGTTCGAATACTCCTGCTACCAAGCCATTGTCCATTCATGGCACCGATGGCACTTTCCGCTTCCTGGAACAATGCAAGCGAAACCTTGAAACTCGGAAATAATTGCTAAACGCCACTTTAAAAGTTAAGCTGCGAGAAAAAACGATCGCTTCGCGTATTTGGGATAAAATCGAACAATTTCTTTTGAATAAAACCCGAATTACGACGTAATAATTATATGCATGATGTTTCCTTATGATAAAACCTTTTTTTTTTTTTTGTATTTTTTAATTTTCCTCTAATTAAAAATTACAGAAGGACGAATTGAATTAATTTATATATCGTTACATATCGTTTTAAATTGCAAATATCAAAATATCTTGTACGTAATTAAAAACAGATTGGATCGTCGAATTGAAAAAGACCTCTTCTTTTCACGCATCGATTAAACGAACGCGCGGTTGTCGCGCGGTTAATCATGGACATATATTTTTTTTTATACATATTTTTTTTTTCCAAGCCCGAGGTTATTCAATATTAAACCGGTATCCACCTATTAATGGCATCATCTAAAATTAATGGTTCTATCTTGTTTCACAAATTTTTCAGCGTCCCTAAAAATTTGTCTCTCTATCTCTCTCTCTCTCTCTTATTGCTCCCTGTCGCAAACCCACGATTAAATTGGTTCAGTTGTAGGCGACCGACCGGCCACATCTACTACTTCTACATCGCAACCATCAATTTCAAATTTTAGTTATAATCGTGCCGCGTGGTTTACGAATGTAATGGAATACGTGAATTCCAGAGGCAGATATTTTACTAATAATTCCAATTTTAATAAATTGCAACGTTAAAGAAGAATATTGAATAAAATAATAATTTACGAAAGTTTAAATGATCCAGTTTTTTTTTATTATTGGTATATAATTTTATATATATATATGTATATACGTTATAAGCAATTAATTATCTAAATACAATCATTGTGACATTTATCGCATTAATATATCCACTCGTTTTAATTTCACTGATGGATTACTCGAACAATAAATTAACAAGAAAGTATATTCTATAAATTTATTACTATTATTCAAGTTACTTAATCGTTATTTTTAAAGGAAAACTATTCGTACGTAAACGTAGAAGAAGGAATGTTATTGGCGCCAATTTGCCAGCCGACGACTCCTTAAAATTCCAAGCAGCGAACGATAAACACAAGACACAACAAGCCTAATAATCCCGCGAAATTCTCTAAACTGTCCTCGGCCTTTCACGTAGTCAAAGTACATATTGCGGTATAACGACGATGGAAAAGTAGTACAAGTTCAAAATTTCCTTTCCAAAAAAGTGGAACAATCTAATCTAACGTGACATCTAAATATCGACGCAAACTTTTCTCTCTCTCTTTCTCTCTCTCTCTCTCTCTAGAAATAAGAATATCGAATAGTTTTGAAAAAATATACAGATTTCGCAGACATAGTTTCTACTCGAGTATCTCGAGTATGGTTGTACTCGTGTCAAGTGTCATCGGATCGTAAGGGCAGCAAAGAAGAAGTCACGTAGCGTGGTTACCTTGCGTTGAAAAAAAAAAAAAGAAGAAGAAGAAGAGAGAGAGATCGGGAACTGGAATAAACAAAAAGGTTACGACCAACAGCCAGAGAGGCCGTAACTCGCAGTACACAAGATGGTAGCCGTAACTTTTATTTACTACTGCTCTGGTTTGAGAAGCATAGCTCGAGTGGATTGAGAAAAGTGGTCTATTACCGTTCTCCGCGTGGAATGGAGCCGTAATAAATACGTATGTATATCTACGTATACATTACTTACGCTAAGCGTGCATACGTGTATGCATAAATGTGTCGAACGAATATATATATATATATATACACACACATAGAATGGTTCGAGAGACAATTGGTAATTCGATAATCTATCTTTCTCTTTCCATCTCTTCTTTCCTCTCTGTTTTAACGTCGCGCGTAACGTTGTCGCTGATCTCTTAATTTTCTCTTTCGCGAAACGTTTAAATTACAATTCCTTTTTCTTCTTTCTTTTTTTCTTTTTTTTCTTTCCTTTCGTTTACCCGTTCAACGGCAAAATCGTTTAATCCCCGTGTTAAAGGCATCGCTTGCCGAAATGCCGGAGATAGCGTTCGAAACTTGGAAACCATCGACTCGTTTCTCTCTCGCCTTGGCATTTCCCGATGCGGGTCAACTCAACGAGCTCGCCTCGAAATTCTGCTTCCCATCTATCCGTCCCTCCCCGTATCTTTTCCCCTTTCCGATTTTTCGAAAAATCCACGCGCTTATCCACGTGTGTTTATTTCTCGAGGGAGGATGAAATTCTTTCGGGCACGGGAAGAGGGACGCTACGAAAATTGTAGCGCGCCAATAAGAGCGTGAAAACGGGTACTCCTCTATCCGTAAGTCCATTACGGGAATATGTATATGGAAAATAAGAAAGAAACGTGGGAGCGGGCAAAAGAAGAGAGGGAGAAAGAAAGAAAGGGAGGAGAGGAGGCCGATATCCCTATTGCAAGGCTCTTGCCAATAGAGACGTGGAAATAGAGAAACGTGGATGCGGAATAACAGAGAGACCGACTTTGCGTGGTTGCGGAGAGGGGGTGGCGGATTCGGAATCGTGCGTATTCCACGAGCAAATGGGAGCAAGCCGGTGACAGGCCGTGGTTGATGCGAGGAACGACGGATCTAAAAATATTCCTCCGTCACATCCCCCCTCCCTCCCTCTCTCTCTCTCTCTTCCTCCCCGAAGAAGTCGAAAAGCTCTTCCAGGACTACTATGCACGAAGAGGTGAGGGGAGGATAGGTGTTTCCCTTCTTCCCTGCCGGCATTCCATCCAACCCCCCATTTCCCTCCCCCTCCCCATTTGCGCCGTTTCGAGGACTCTCTTCGAGGTCCGGGCTTTCGCCTCGTTTCCACAACCGTTACCATCCACCATCGTTACCCCTCCTTCTCTTCCTGTGTGCAAGAGAGAAAGTTAGCATCGTCGTGGCGTCGCTACGATCCAGCTACTTCTTATCCCTCTTCGTAACCGTATCCCTACGTACTTACACTCGTGGAAGGGGGAGGTATAAAGTATTTCCGATTCGAATTTCCCTCCCCCCCCCCCCCCCGATATGACGCCGCTTGGCTCGCGTGGTTAGACCTAGATAGACCGGCGGGCCGAATGCTCGCCTCTCTCTAAGCCGATTCTAAACTACGGTCGATAAGTTTGCCCCTAACCCCGGGACGAGCAGGAACGGCTGAATGCAACCACCCCCTCCTCTCGCTCTCCTTCCACTTTCCGTGACCGGACCGTTTATACGACACGCCGCGGCTGTCCTACCGACCTCGTCGCCCCAGACCTGCCTAGTTCAACCTGTCCGAGCACACGTCAAATCGAATTTTCTCGCGCACACATGCACACACGTACACACAGGGAGGGGAAACGCCTATAGGCCGTTCCGTGACTACGAGCGAAGCGACACCCAGCTGCTTTACACGCATTACTAAGTCATAGGCTTACGTGGCTCTAAAAAGAGCATACTACGTACTCTACGTGTCTTTTTTTTTTTTTTTTCGTTTTCTTCTTTTTTCCTTTGCTTTTCTCTTTTTCGCTTCTTCTTTTCCTCCGTATTCCTCCGATCCTTCTATCGATGATACCGCGGACGCGAAACTGGAGAGGAGAGGGAGAGGGAGAGAGGGAGAGGAGGTATCGATCGGATATTTTATGGGAATATTATGTCGATGCCGATCGGGGAAATTTTGGAATCAACAGCCACCGTGGAAATTAAGAATACGAAATGAATTTTTTGCCACCCTTACCCGATACGCTTCCGACCTTATTCCAGCTGGGATTTTATCGATGGAACGTTATGAAAGCCTTTTTTTCCCTCCCCCACCGATTTCTTGATTTATCGCCAAAAGGATTTATCGATCTTCCCCTTCCCCTCTGCTTCTTCGCGTCGCTTCAAAGTGGCCAACTTTTTGGCGATTTTGGCTCTCGCCTTGCCACCCCCTGAAATTCCCCGCACGTGCCCGCCCCTTCCTTTTTTTTTTTTTTTTTTTCCCTATCTCTTCCTTCCGGCAACTGCCATCCACGTATTTATAGTTTCGCTTGATAGACGCGCGCCGTCTCGTTTAATCACATCGGGATCCATACCTTTCGAAATCACGTTTTCGCGCTGCGTCGTCTCGTGGAGGATTCCTTCTTTGCACGTTAAAAGAGTCAACCTGCCTCTCAATTGACCTCGGTCGATCCAGGATAGAGGGGGATAGAGGGGCGAGAAGAAATTTTCGCGTGCCCCTCGAGATCTTCACGGAGACACCCCGTGGAAAATTTATACTCGGCCAATGGTAAGTAATACTTGGGGTGGGGTGGTGAGGCAGGTGCCTGCGGTGGTCCAGATCGATCGAACATTAAAACAGGGGAGGGAGGGAAACGAGAGGCGGTGTTGGGGGTAGCCGCCTTGGCGGATAACCTTCCCCCATAAAAAAAGGTGGCGAGCCTTCCTACTTAACTGTCCTGCGTTTAACTTACGTCGTGATTTACGCGGTAGATTTTGAGAAGAATCGTGATAAAAGTCGTAGTCCTCCCCCTTTCTTTCGAAAAATGACGGTTTAAAGCGCTCCCCTCCTCTTTTTTTCTCTCTTGTTTGATCAACGAGATCTCTAAATAAATTTCCAGACGGAATGGAGCGCAAAGTTTCTAATCAAAGGGTATGAATGATTATTATATAATCGTTTTAGAATTAATTTTTTTTCGCTATTGAAATTTTTGTTTGTGCGAGAGAGAGAGAGAGAGAGAGAGAGATTTGAAGCGTTTCAGAGAAAGGAAAGAGTTTTTTGTAATTAAAAATATTATTTTAGCTTACGCGATTACACGAGAAATTTCGTAACTTGGTATTATTTTTTTTTTTTTTTTTTAGAAAATTTCTTTACCAGTCGGGAATGAAATCGTGGGATGAAATTAAATTTGTTAGACTTACCGCTTTTTTAACAAAGGAAACGAATCCATATCCTTTGGATTTGAGCGTTTGTGGATCTCTCACGACTCTGCAATCTCTGCAACAAGAAACAAGTTCATTTGTTAAAAATATGAATTTTTCCGTTACGAAAGAGTTCTTGGAAATTATTATTTGCGGTTAAAGTAACTCGAACATTCTTCTTCTTCCTTTTTTTCTTCTTCTTCTTCTTCTTTTTCCCCTCCTCCTCCCTTTCGAAGATTCGTTTATATACAACGAAACCTTTCATCCCTTTGAATTTTAATTAAATTTTTATACACACTGGATAACGTTTCAGCACGTCTCGTGTAAAGTTGAGAATATCCGGTTAATTTTCTCGAAAACGAAGCGAGAGGGAAAAAATTTTATCCCATTTTCTTCCGATTTCTCGATCATTATTCGCCTAATTATACCGTTGCGCGCTTTAACGCTTCTTTTCGCATTATCGCAAAAGTTGAGAGAAGGCTACTCCCCTCGTTACTTCGAATTAACGGATAGACGTTTCGTGACATTTGGCAATCATTCCGTTTACCTTATCTCCCCGATACAACGTAACACGAAAGCAACAGATTAGCAGAAACCGGTTTTCTTTCTCCAACTTTTAACGAGACATCCCGTCTACTAATCGCATCGTGCATTTTCTTCTCGATTTTATAATCGTATATATATATATATACATATATATCCCCAGAATCTTCCGTTTTATCAAGAAGAAAAAAGAAAAAAAAGAAAGTCTCGACGAAGAGTCTTTAATCTATCCCCAATGACGAATTTCGAAGAATTTCTCTCGAAAACAACGAGTTTCGAGAACGATCGTCGAACACCCTAAAAATTCTTGCTCGTAATTAAGATTCCAGCGATGCCCGACAGACGAAATTAGGAATACTCGAGTAAGGGGTAACGCCTCCCGCGTTGGCCGTCCCTCCCGACTTAAATAAAATATTCTTTCGTTCGATGGGGACTGGCATGTGGCTCGAATAAAACTCTGGGTTATAGGTCTGCCAAATTTTTCATCCCGCTCGCTCGCTCGTTCGTCTGAATTTTTCGAACGTTCGATAGAATTTCATATTGTCTGGTTTTCGTGAAAAAAAAAAAAAAAAGAAAGAAAGGAAGGAAGGAAAAAATAGAGAGGAAAAAACAAAAATAAATTTTGCCAATTGCTTTTTCGTTCCGATATTTTCGCGTTAACATCGGAGAGGAGGAGGAGAAAGGATCGACGATGATTTAGAAAGAAATCATGCGACGAAGAACGCATTAACGAAGGATTCATTGGAAAGAATAAATGGAGTCGATGCCGTTTACTTTTGTAAACGCATTAAAATGATTAGCGGGGAAGCAGCTAGGAATTGCTCGTCGTGTATTTATCTTCGTTCATTATGTCACTCGCTCGAAACGAAAGGGAGCTGGCTTCGTTCTTTCGACGAAGAAAAGACTATCTATCGTAATGGTAACGCCGTTGTACGCTGGAAACATTAATCGCGGCTAGAATTATTATTATTCTTAAAAAAGATCGGGGCTACAGGAGCGCACAATTTTTCATAACGGAATTGGATGATATTGCGGAAAGCAGCGGTGGATATCGGGCAGGTTGGCGAAAGAGACGGGAGATGGTGGAAAGAAGTAAAATTGGAAAGGAAAAGAGCGAAGAAAGGCTGAAAGAGGGTTTCGCCGAAAGGACAGAACGTGAAAAGAGGGATGAAAGAGAGAGGGTAAGCGAGATTACGCGCGTCAAAGAGTAGCGGTACTTTGCTTTCTCATCCCCCGTTTATCTTCCTCCTTCCCTCCCCCCTCCCGCTATATGCAACTTTTTCGGTTTCGCTCGCTCTTTGAACAATTAATCGTTCGCCTTCTTCGAGAACCTCTTCCTGCATCGTGCGAATTTCATTGTATCCCCCGATATCCGTGATAATTTCTTAATGGGGAAATAATTTGCAAGTTGCGCGCGAATCGTTTCGCAATCTTGTTTTCCGCGTTTTCAGGATGGCTGAAAACGTTGGCCCTCTCCTGAAAACGTTGCAATAAACCGAGTTAAGAAGGTCAAGTGCGAGGAGACCGGACAAGCGGTAGTTTTCGAGTAAATTTTACTCAAAACTACTATGTTGCGCAAGAAGCTAAACAAAGTTGCGGTCAACTGTAAACGCGGCCTTTCGCGGAAGCGGAGTTATGCATTTACTTTCCCTCTTCCCCGCTTAAATACTTATACTCGGTTAAATTGCTTTCCACCGTCGGCCTCGGTATTTAGCCAGCCCTTAATCGTCCTCGTTTTTACGTAATAAAGAAAGAAAGAAAAAAAAGAAAGAAAGGAAGGAACGAAGAGCGCGATCAACTCGCCCCGAGGAGAATAAGAATATTCCTCTATATCTCTATACACCGATCTACCATATATATATATATATATATATAATTTATGATCAATCGAAAAATTTATCCTCTCCTATCGACGAGTATTCTTCTTTTTTAACTTTGAGCTTCTCTCCTCTCCTGAGATGATCCGCGATCATTTTCCGCGAGTTTTCAGCCGAATGTCGCCGCCGCGAATGTCACAGTGCGCGAACATGAGTAATAGTCGATATAAGTTAGATGTAGAGCGGCACGCCAGTCGCATATGTCGTTGCCCACACTTCAACCTCTCCCACCCCTGGGGACGACTCTCTCCCTCTCTCTCTGTCGATCCAGAGCCACCTCTCTCGTCACCCTTTCTCCCAACCCTTCTCCCCCTCTCTTTCGAACGCGATCGGCCCTCTTTTTACGGCTTC